TTTAGAACCACCCCTGAAGTTTTCAAATTGGCTTCACCTTAATAGTATTGTGGGGTGCATAATTAGAGCCCAGCTTGTACCTTTGAAACCAGCTGTACAACCTTGTTTGTTGAACTTTTTTTTTTTTCTGTCTAGAACGGGGGATTGCAAGATGCTTGTATTCAAATGTTTGAAGAAAAGCACCACGTTATTGTAACTGAATAATCATCTAAGAAGGTAAATATGTCAAAGCAATGTCAAAAGACTTCTTTACAGGGGCACTCTCAACTGAGTAGGTGTGTTTTTGACTGCCTGATTAAGCTTAATATCTGTGAGTGATTTGATACCAAAATTGATTTCTGCCTTTCTCTTCTATGGTTCCAACTGAGGTTTGTGCTTACCTTTTCATGCTCTAGATTTAGGTAATACGGATGGATAGATATACACACTCTCCACTTATATTGAAGGCACAAAAGATTACAACTGAAAGTTTCCAAATTTTGATTTATTTTTGGTGAAACGTTCTTATTGACAATTTTTTGATTTATTAAAAAAAAATTCAACTCAATATTTGCAAATTGGGGGTGGGATGGTCCTAGTGAGGGCCAGGTTGACTAGCTACAGAGCCAGCTCTGAATTTTTAGATTTCTGAAAAAGGAATGAACTTTCAAACAATTTTTTTTAAACCATCTCTGATGACTGCCCTCATGTCCATGATTTGTAAAATGAAAAGAAACAAAAGCCACAATGTTTTGGTGCAGCTGTGTGTTTGTGTTTCAAAAAGGAGCAGATGAACAAAAAGAAGGTAAAAAATCCATCTACTTTCGAAATGTTCTGATTTTCATTTACATTACAGCCCCTTTAAATGGCTCTGGCAATGCAAAAGAATCTGTGGATGGGCATAAATGTCATTTGTATTCATTTTAAGTCGCCTTTACAAAGTGTAAATAGACATAGATGTAAATTAAAATCAAGCCTAAAAAGTATCCTAGACATTTAAAGGGCTGATTCTACCCTTGGGTCCTTAAAGTCATATAGCAAAGACGGTATAACTTGTGCCAACCGTGACTTCTGCAGTAAACTATCTGTTGGGATTTGTTTGTCCTCAAAAAATATGTATTGTATCAAAAAAGGTTAGTGATCTTCTATCACATAAATGAGTCATACTTTGATCAAAAATTGGAGAATTTGGTCTTATGCAAAAATTATTTGTTTCCTGACATTTGAAATGAACAAATTGGGAGCAAACTGCTCTCAAGAAATTTATTTCAATCTCCTGCTGGAATAATGGGTATTGCTAATACTCAGCAAATGCACAACTTCTGTCATTGTCAGTCTGGTCACACGATTTTGCACATTTCAATTAATTCACTCATCCCCACAAGCTCTATTTTGCCTTTGGATATCATGTTGATTCATGACTTTGGTTTATAAACCCAATCAGTGGCCTAACTCCTCCATATGTATCCATTAATATATATATGTATTTATGATAGATATATGAATACTCTTCTTAACTTTCAGTAGATAATAATCAGTTATAATTAATACAACTTTAAAACTGTGTTTAATGGATTGATGACAACGAAACAGAGTGGGAATTGCCTATACATTGTGTGAAAGGGTAAGTTGCAACATTCTATTGTGTGGGACCTGGTTCTCAATGGATAACAAAACACAAGCCACGTTGATTACATAGCACAAAACACACATGCACTGCTTCCCAGGACAGTGAGAGGAGAGATCCCTCTTGTTTTAAATATTATGCCCTCTTATTTTCTTATGATCAGCATGTCTAGTTAATATGATGATTTTGAGCTCCACACCTAAAACTGCCAGCCCTGCTGTAAAGTGACACCATCCTACTTGCTGAATTATTTGGATTTTTTTGCTTATGGCCAGGAATTGGATATGATGAGGGTATATTCCATTCTTTGGTGTCACGTATTGTAGACCATCTTTGGACCTTTCAGTTTCATTCAGCGATTATTTATTCTTCGTAGAAACCTGATCAGAATTAGGTCTAGTAGAGAAATGACTAGGAAGTCTGTTCTGTATTGAAGGAGACATGTGGTTTGCACAGAAATGCTTCAGTTCAACTCCACACATGACTATATTTTGCATAACCATGGTAGGGGAATCCTGACCATAGCTTAAAATACAAAAAAAGTCAGCATATGACTTAAGTTTTGCTGCCCTCACTGAGGCAGCGATCCACATGCTGTTTATATTTCTTTTGAAGAAAGGTCAGTCTTTAAGACCATATAAAGACTATAATAAGTAGAGGAACTCCTGTTGATCATAGCAGGAGGTTCACACACAGGTTTAAATGATCTCCTAGGCAGAAAGAACAGGAGTCCTTGTGGCACCTTAGAGACTAACAAATTTATTAGAGCATAAGCTTTCGTGGACTACAGTCCACTTCTTCGGATGCATGTAGAGCTGCTGCAAAAGACCTAGGCACTACTTAAGTCCCACTTATGCCTTATGTTATGAATTTCACGCATAGTGACACTAAGGGCGAGATCCTCATCCTCTCTCCAACCCCTTTATGTTGAGTAAAAGGGCCTGAGCAGCATAAAGGCGGCTGAAAAGCCTCATATCCAGCTGGGAGAGGCTTCCCCCTGCCTCTAGACAGTGCAGAGGATAGCCTAAAGTGGTCTGCCCATGGATAGCGCCTTTCAGGACTGGGACTTCAGTCTTTGGGGCTAAAAGATGTTGTCTTCTTCTCAGCCTTTTGGCTTAGATCACATGTATACATCTTTTTGTATTTGGGACCAAAGGGGTTGATAGACATTTTATAGACTGAAGACAAAATAAAGCTTATCACTATTCATTATCCCTTTGTTTATTACAACTGAAATAAGAGTACAGTTCCAATGTATGTTTCACTGTTCATGCTCTTTGCATGCTGCAATTTGATCTGCTTGGGTAAGGAAAATATACTAGGTAGTCTGACTTTTGTTTCTAGTGAGTTTTGCTTTCAGATTTTCACATGCTGTAATGTTTGGGTTGCCAACACCGCAGTGAAATCTAATAAAAACCTGTTTCCATTTATTTTTAAAAAATTGAAAAAATGTGTTTTGATTAGGTATAGATGGTAAAATATTATAGGATTAATATTCTTATTGAATTTTGTGATATTTTTCCCTTTAAAAGATTTAAAAGGGTTTTTTTTTGTTTTTGTTATTTGCCCAGCTTTAATATTGAGAGTTGTAAAACCCTCCAATGTCCATTAAAGAGACCTGCTATTGTGGACCAAAGTTACTTGACACTAGGAGATTTGCAAGACAGTGGAATTGATACTGTAGGATCAGATCCAGCTCCTATTGAAATCAATGGGAGTCTTTCAATTGACTTCAGTGGGAGTTAGGTTAGGTCCCTAATAGGTAATTTCGCTATGATCGTTGTCCCCTTTGCCCCCTAGTTCTGCTATGGATTCATTTATGGATCTTCCATTGAATTGAATGGTGATTTTATTACAACTTAAGGGGTGGATTGGGCCTTGTACTATCATCTATGTCAGTGGAAACTAAGGTACCTGTAATACATTGTTTAAACACAAAAGCTGGTACTGTTTTCTTTTGCAGAGATCTTGATCTCTGTGCTAATGGCAGGAAGTGGTATTTGGCTGAAGGTCAGGACACATGGTGCAAACAAATGGTGGAGAAACAAGGCTCTATATCAGTGATCAGTTTGTCCAATCCCCCCTCCCAAAAAACCAAAAAAACAAACCTCAACCTCACACTTTTTTTTCTCTTTCTTCTTCTTCAAAGAAATGACCCAATGAAAGCCTTCTACATACCAGGGCATTTTGGTTTGTGATCAGTTAAATATGTTTTCTTACTCATTCAGTTGTATAAATCACAAGCACAGGAAGAGCAGAGAGAGGCTGATCTGATGCATTATCTGAAAAATAAGACATTAAAATAAATGTACAGAAAAGCACAGCAGTCTAATTGGATCAAATTTTGGGTAGGACTGACCTTATGATTTTCAGGGCCCTATGCTGATGGAGAAGATCTAGAGGCAAGATGTGTTCCCCCTCTGGTCCTATGGCTGACTGGGAAGATTAGTTGCCGAGTCTAGAGTGAGAGAATCCCCAAAGTGCAACCCCTCCAAGTATTTGCTTGTATTGCCTGCGCTTAAGATGGGTCCTGGCAAAAGGCACACTGGCATCTGCCTTTTTCTGTTTCAGAAACTCCAGGAGTGCTGATCACTTATCGTGGGAACCATCTGGTTTCTTCCTATAGTGATCAAGAGCTAGTCATTGAACAAAGTGGAACATGCAGCATTTCACTCTATCAGGAAAATACATCGGACTCAACCTGAGGCCACTGAAATGCTGAATGCTGCAGGCACAGAAGAGAGATATTTAGCTTCAGAATTCTGCCTTGAGATTGCTGAGCTGCTCTGCTATGGAAGAGCATATTCTCTGGTGACTCTTCTCCCGCCTCCCAGCTGCAAACCTTCTGGAAATCAAAGGAGATGCAGAGCACCGACAACACCAGGTGAGGTCCCCGGGAGCTGTGGATGCTCAGCAGTTCTGAGAATCAGGACCCAAATGTCTAGCTTAGAGACATCTCTTCTATTGGGGCTAAGGGATCTAGTGTTTAGGGCACTAGCCTGGAGATCTGGGTTCAATTCTCTGCTCCACCGCCAGTTTCCTGTATGGCAGTCTCTCTGTGCCTCTGTTCCCAGCTGTAAAATGGGGATAATAGCACTTCCCTACCACACAGGCATGTTGTGAGGATAAATACATTTAAAAGATTGTGAGGGGCTCGGACGTTACGGTAATGGGAGCCTCAGATAGATCTCCAAGTAGGCTTCCTAATTCAGGAATCCAAATCTCCCTCTTTCACTGTGTGGTGTCTTTTAACAAAGCCACATGCTTTCTGCACTCCTACCATCTATCACCTCCTGCTAGGCCTTTTCATAGACCAGCTAACTGAAGGGTTCTTTGAGATGCAGGGAAGTTTGAATTCCACACCACTGCTCTTGGTTTCCTGAAGTCAGGCAGATTAAAGGATTTTCCAGCCAGTTTGAGGGCCAAAGTGCTGAGTGGGCTCATGGAAGCAGCCTCTGCTCAGTATTCCTCCTCTTGGACTTTCAGCAGATCAGAGAGAGATGAATCCATTAATCTTTGATGAGATTGTCATAATTTTTCTTATCGTGCTTGCTAGTTACCAAAGCAATTTAAAAAAAATTAAACGAGGACTTCCTCCCTCACAGCCCATCTGCTGTGAAATCATAATGCACACAATTTGTGACTTTAAAATCATTTCCATGGCAACATACTGTGATGTGATCAACTGAGACTTATGACCTCATTGAAGGCTCAGGCAGGCAAGGCTGTGTCGGGATGAAGAATAAAAGAACAGTCTCTACAGTAATAGTAACAGGAACTTAGCTACAGATGGGGGGAAATCCACTTCTGTGAAGAAGGACTAAAGCCTTATGCTGAACCTCTGCACAGGGGTGAATTTCACGCACAGCACATACATTTCTCTTTTGCTTTAATGGAAAAGTCCTCACTGCTTGGATTTTTACATTATTTGTAGTACAAACTATTTTTCAAAATTCTTTGAATTTTTGGGGGGACTTTTGTTCCTGTTTGTCAGCCCTGGAGACCCAAAATCCTCTTTTTATCCACAGAAACAGATACTGTGTGAGCAGTGGCAACGCACATTTTCCCCATGCTACTCCATCACTATGTTTCAACCCTTGCCAGAGAGACCACCACTAGGGGGCGAGTGGCCCAGTTTTCAAGCCCATTCAATCTTCAGCCGCTCAGCTCAGATTGCCGGTGAGGGTGAAAATTGTGGTGATGTTTTGTGGACAGCTGGACTGAAATGACCAAATTAATTTCACATGGGCTATCTAACTGCCATCACATCAAATGCTATCCATTGGCTGTCACTAAAGACTGAAATCAATAGGAGTCTTTTCACTGATTTCAATGGACTTTGAATCAGACTGTAAGTTATAAACCAGGTTCCGACACTGCAATACATACTCATATGAGTAACTTTAATTCCCTGAGACTACTTGCATACAGAAAGGTACTTACATAGTATGTACTTGCAGGATCAATCCCCTAGGCAGGATTTGAATGAGGCATAATGTGCCATTAATTTTTAGTCAGAATTGATTAATGGGAAGCCTGTGATGGGGATTCTGATTAAAAAATAATAGTAACAAAAAAATCAATGGCACAGTATGCTCTATGTTTGGAGATTTAAAGGGAAAAAGCTAACAGACGAGACAAAGTCAAGTATTGGCTGCTGCACTTCTATACAGTGCCATAGGTGTGCCTGGTGCTTTTCACTGAGAATTAAGATGTGGTCCCTCTCTCAGTCTAAACTGAGAATGACAAAACAGGATGCTGGCAAGGTGGAGGAAAGAACAGAGAAAGTTATGCAGTTTCTTGGTTGGCACAATATACATCAGATTTTAATTTAACATTTATATTGCGGTGGTGTCCAGAGGACCCAGTTGGGATTTTGGCCTTATTCTATGACATGCTGAACCAGGACTGCCAGCCTCAAAAAATCAAAAATCATGAGTCAGAACCCACCCATCATGAAATTAAAAAAAACATCAAATCATGTTTTTAGTCTGTTTTTGACTTTTAAAATTCTCCCTACTCCTTTGCCAATGTGGGTATGATAATTTCAGGTTAAAAATATCAACTTTTAACGTACACAGAAGTTAATGCTTCTCCCCTTTGCTCATATGGAGACTCAACTTACCCTCTCCTTGCCCCTAAAATAGGAGAACTGCCATCCATGTCCCATTACTGTCTTGACTCCCACCCCTCCTAGTTTATTTCCTTTGATAAGAGAAGAGCTGGATGATAAACAGTTTGAGAACCACTGGCCTAATTAATGCATCATGGATTCACACTTGCATATAGAATTGATATTACTTTTTGGGGTTGATGAGTTACAGATATACATGTTACAGAACTTTAAACTTATATCAATAGTTCATATCAACAATAATGTCACGGTAAAAACAATAAGGGATTAGTTTAGTCTTTTGCAAGAAACAACACTTCACTCACTCTCTTCTCCTGCCTTCCCAACTGGGCAGCACTCCTTCGCCTTACCCCTGAGCTGTCTCCCTCTGCTCCCCTTCCCTTCTGCCCCCACAACCTTCAGCACCCCATTCTTCTGCAACCCTTAAATATGCCTCCTGCTTCCCACAATGCCTGGCTTCCCCTGCTCTCCCCATCCATCTTTCACAGTAACTCTGCTGCACCTAACAGTCCCTGTGTTCAGTCTAGTCCCCTGAATGACTGTCAGCATGTTGCCCATGGGCATGGCTTCAACCTAATTGAAAATAGTGGGAAATGGCAGCCTCACTTCCACACATAATGATACTGGAGGGAAATGATGGCCATCTTGATGGTGTCAGCCCCTTGACTGTAAATGGAGATGGTGGCCATTTTAAAGAAGGGAAAATTCATGATTTGGTGCCTTTCATTGTGTTTTGATGAGATAAGTAAAAAACCACACCCCGAAATCCCTAGAGTTGTGAGAAAATGGTGAGAGTTGGCAATAGGGTGTGCACACACACAGGACAACACAGACCTTTGCCCCAAAATGTTCCTCTTTATTTAAAAGAAACAATGAAGAATCCGGTGGCACCTTAAAGACTAACGGATTTATTTGGGCATAAGCTTTCGTGGGTAAAAAAACCCCACTTCTTCAGATGCATGGAGCGAAAATTACAGATACAGGCATAAATATACTGGTACATGAAGAGAAGGGAGTTACCTTACAAGTGGAGAACCAATGTAGAAAGCCAATTCAGTCAGCGTGGATGTGGTCTACTCCCAATAATTGATGAGGAGGTGTCAATATCAAGAGAATACCAGTGTGTCAATACCTCTGTATTTTATAACTGCTGTAGAGGGTTAAAATTAGGGTTGCCATCTCCGAGGTACAAAAAACAGGACATCTGAGATGATCCTGAGCCCATAGAACTGGACAACTGGCACGGTGTATTGAGCACCCTTACTGATTTCCCAGGACAGCTACCTCAAAAAAGGGACACTCCTGGGAAAACCTGGAGAGGTGGCCACCCTAGTTAAAATCTCATACACTTCATCTCCTTCCCACTAGCACTCACTATATATAATCTGTATAGCCCATGATTACTAGTAATAATACCTAGCACTTACATAGACCTTTAATCTTCGAGGCACTTTACAAAGATTAGCAAATTAATCCATAAAATGAAAAAGCTGTCAAACTGTTGTTGAACTGCATTCTTTTAATGGCAGGGCTGGCTCTAGGCACCAGCAAACCAAGCATGTGCTTGGGGCAGCACATTTTCAGGGGCGGCATTCCGGCTATCTTTTTTTTTTTTGCTTTGGGCGGAAAAGCCTAGAGCTGGCCCTGGCAGCAGCAGCGCATTGTGCACAGGGGGCGCCCTGGGGCCGCTGCGGTTCGCGCCGCGGGGGAGCAGCGCCTGCACCTTGTGGCTGGGCCGGCCAGGCTCCGAGCGGGGGACACTGTGGCTGGGGGCCACCCCGCGGGGCGCACGGAGCCGCCTGCAGGTGCCACAGGGTGGCCGTCCCCCAGCGCCGCAGCCGGGGCTGGGCGAAGCAGCCCAAGCCGCCCAGGGGCTGCGTCAGGGTGGCCAGAAGCAGCAGCAATGGGGCCATAGAGGGTGGGGTGCTGCTGTGCGGGGCCCGGGCTGCGTCCCGCTCTCCAGGGCTCCACTCCCTCTGGGGCTGCCCTGCTCCGGCTCCTCAGGCCCCTGCCAGGGCAGTCCCCCTGGATCTGCCCTCCCGGGTCCCGGCCGGTCCTGGAGGCGGGAGCCCTGACTGGAGGGACCCTGGGCTGAGGCGCGGCCCGGGAGCCCTGCTGCTTATCCTGACCCTGCCAGCGCCGGACCGGCTGGAGGCGAGGGGGGAGCGGGCGGAGTCAGCACTGGTGGGGGGGGAGCCCAGGGCTGGGGCGGCAGGGTGTGTGTGTGTGGGTGGGGGGAGAGAGCTCGAGGGCGT